GCATGTTTGTAACCATTTATACCATATTTCTGTTCCCTAAAATCTTAGTGCAATCAACTATCCAAAATCAGTGTAACACAGAAACAAAAGAATAATTTCTAACAGTTGTTTCTTTTCTGAGTCTGCACAGTAGCTCTGAGTGCCCAAAGCATGACCAGGGTGTTTGACTGCTGCTGTTGTAACCTCTGCAGGGCTTTCACGACGGGGACGCCACCAGCACCACGGTACCACCACTCTGCCGTGGTCTATGGGAGCAGCATGTTTGTGTTTGGTAAGGCAGCAGCAGCTTGTGCTGGGAGTGGTAGATGTGCTGCTGTACTGGTTTGAAAAAAGAATGAGAGATCTTTAGGAAGTGTCAAAGATCTCATTCAGTAGCAAATCCAGTATTTTTCATGGCTGAGTGTGGTTTCAACTTTGGAAATATTTTGCTGTTTTGTTTAAAGTGAGGGTGACTCGAAGCTCATTACTATAGTGATTCTTTAGGAGAAGGAGTAGAGGATAAGTCTCCTTCTGTAGTAATCCATTAGCCAAACACTTTATGCAATCAAAAGTTTCTCCTAATGCAATGCCTGGGAGTGTGTGTGCTCCTTGCCTGGGAGTCTAATGGAATTCTTGTTGTCCAGGTGGTTACACTGGAGATATCTATTCCAATTCTAACCTGAAGAATAAAAATGACCTCTTTGAGTATAAGTTTGCAACTGGGCAATGGACAGAGTGGAAGACGGAGGGAAGGTAAGAGCTGGTGTCATTGCCTCATACTTTGGGGGAGTGAGGGTAGCTTGGTATCCTTTCACATAGCACAGTCAGACCTAGTGACAGTGCTGATGTTTGGGCTGCAGCATGATTGCTGCTCTGCTTTTACAATTAAAGTGTTTTGGTTCTACAGGAGTTTTTTTGGAAGGCCTCCTTTCCAGAGTGCACTATAAAGGAAATTTGTCCAAAATCCACTCTTCATGTTTCAGGTCCATGACAGAAGGAATGGGAACAAAGGGAGTTGGGGTTTTTTTCTGAACTCTTTCAGTTTCAAGGATAGCTTGGAAAATGTTGATCCCTCATGAACGTGGGCTCCTGAGATTCAGTGTTCCACGGAAAACCAGAATCACTAACACATGGCTTCCTAAAGTTGACTCCCTGGACATTTCACAGTGCCGTTTCTGACAGTGATTGTGATCCAGCTACTCAGTATTTTTTACAAGGGGGTGGACAGGATAAGGGGGAATGGCCTCATACTGGCAAAGCAGGGATAGATGGGATTTTGAGAAGGAATTCTTGGCTGTGAGGGTGGCGAGGCCCTGGCACAAGTGTCCAGAGAAGCTGTGGCTGCTCCATCCCCCAAGTGTCCAAGGCCAGGTTGGATGGGGCTTGGAGCAACCTGGGATAGTGGAAGGTGTCCCTGCTCATTGGCAGGGCATGGGACTGGATGGGCTTTAAGGTCCCTTTCTGCCCAAACATTTCTGGGTTTACCACTCCCCAGTAAGGGTCATGTGGAGTCTTTACCCACAATGCTATACACAGCTGAAGTATCTGAAATGCTGGTTTCAGTGGAGAGAGGGAAGAGGATGTTTGTTTTTGTGATTTGTGGAGAGGGATGAGGAATGTCACATCCATTCTTGTGTTATTGTTGCTCACCTCTGATGAGCACATTATATTTCAGAACAGAGACCCTCTTAACAATTTCTTTTTCTGGTTAATTCTGGTAACTTGTGACATTTTGGAGAGTAATTCTTACTCAGTTTACAAACTCACATTTTGCTTGTTGTTTCCCAGAGTTACAGTGTTCATGCTGCACAATGACCTCAGACAAGCCAACAGATGCCTTGTGGCATCACAGGTTTGTTCAACCTGGCTGATTTAGTTAAAACATCAAAGATTATGGAAGAGAAAGTATAGGTTTGATCTTTCATTGTGGGTACTACATCTTGGGAACAGCCCTGAATGATCCCAAATGAGTATCCTGAGCTCTGGTCTCATTTCTGTCTTTCACTTGCTTAGTCTGTGGGAATACATGTGGGATGTTCATAGCAAGAGTCGATTGCCACCTTGCTCTACCAGTGGTGCTATGAATTTTCCCATTGTTTAACTACTTTATGCGAAGTACTCTTAAGAGTATTTTAGTCCTGGCAAGGAATTAGTTGGGATTTGTTTCCTTTTTTTTTTTTTTTCCCTGTCTGCATTAAGGTGGTGTCTCTTCACTGAAAACAGCAGAGTGCAAGACTAACACATGCCTTCAGAGGTTCACTCAGTGTTTGGAGGGTGCATGGCAGAAGCAATTTTGTGTAGGGGACTTGTTACATTTCTTAGATCCTTCTGCAGCCCCTCTACAGCTGCAGAGGGAAGATTATTGTCTGCATTTTCTTCCTTGCAGGTTGCCAGTGGCCAGGTCAGCTCATGGTGCGACAGTGTACAGTGACAAGCTGTGGATCTTTGCTGGATATGATGGCAATGCACGGTATGGGGCAGTATCACCCTCTCCTTGACTGCTTTTGTGAAATCCCAGCCCCTCACTTTCCACCTTTGTAGAGACATTTCCATATTCCAAGAGATTTCAACACTCAACTGGAGCTCTGCAAACCCAGTCTGTTGTTGAGCATTGCACTTTTGCAATTCACTGGTTCATGTTCAGTTAAGTAGTATGTGCTTAAAGCTGAAAGATCTGGTTACTCAGAGTGGCTGTGGATGTGTAATTTGACAGCATGCTTGGTTGTAAGGCTGCAAAATGATCTTTGACATTTGGCAAATGCACATTTCTTGAAAAATCCCCGTCACAAGCCGGGTGGTGTTGCCGAGACTTAGACAGCAAAGCCTGGATTTGCTAGGAAATCATCTGACAGAACTAAGAACAACGTGTCAGTTTTTTCTCAGAAGTCTCTGGAAATATGTAATATTTAGGTTGAAGGGAGGTAGGATTTTTTATGGGGAAAGACTGGAAAGCAGTGGTGCTGAGATGTTAGAGAGAGCCTGGTGCTTTGTCTCACAGTAGCTCCTTGCATTTGCTGTTGGTCTGTCAGGGAGCAGTCAGTTCTGGATGTTTAATTTCTTTTTCTGTCATGATGAACTTGAGGGGTAATTTACATTGATGTACAATATTTGCATTATGAGAGTACACAGAGATTGTCACAAATGAGGAGCTGGGTTGCCTCCTCTTCTGAGGAGAAATCTTCAGAAAAGTGTCCAGTTCCACAGAGTCTCCAGGAGAAGATAATCTGATAATGGGGAAAACAGATGGGATGTCTTTATTATTTCTGGAGAAGGAATTGGTATAAGATGCATGACTCTGTGGGATTGTTCAGTGCCAGCTTAGGGAGTCCCCCAGGGCCTTGGATAGCTGTAAGGAAGGAGTGGGTGAGAAGAGCTGTCTAATTTATGTTAAATATGTCTAATCACGTTTAAAAAATGTTTTTTTATGGAACTTGAGCCTCCAGGCAGATTTGAACAAAGGAAACATCTGTAGTTACTGTGAGTAACTTGTTCTGGGAACAGCACAGTCAGAGATGTGTCAGGTTACCTGTTTCATCATCCTTTCTGTATTTAAGGAAGGATTCAGCCATGTAAATAATAGTGGTCAATCTCAATAGTTAACAGGGATGAGCAGAAGGAGCAGGGTAATAAGGGGTATTTTGTAAAAATCCTGAAGATTAAATAGCTCAAATCCTTGAGCTCCAGACTGAGTTGCTGTATGTAGTTAACTGCAGTGTACTTGTAACTAGAAAGATACTGAAGCAAGCTGGGGTGGGGATGTCAAATTGAGGTATAGGACAAAGGGACTCTAAAAATTGTTTTTCTGTCAGTGGAAGTAGAAAATTCTTCCTGTGCAAAAGGAATGTTGATGAGATAGGATTTCTGTTCTTTCAACACTGTTACAAAAAAATGAACTGTTTCAAATCAAGCATTTTTTGTATTATGGCACAGATTAAATGACATGTGGACAATAGGCCTGCAGGACAGAGAGCTGACCTGCTGGGAAGAGGTAAGAAGCTTTAATTTTAACACATAAAATCCTCTTTTTTGGTTTTAATGCAAAATTATTTAAAATTTCCCCTGCTAGACTGCACTACTCTTTCTCCAGAATTTGTTTTTGACCCACAGTGAAAAGAAACAGTTCAAATTTGATTTGGTTTAGGTATTTGGAAAACCAAGTGTGTATGAAAAGGTGATTTTATTGCGTGTGAATCTGTGAACTGGACTTGGACTTCCCATGGGGCATTTGCTGTGTCCTCTGTGGAAGGGACTGCATTCCCACTCAGACCGCTAACGCAGACTGGGAGCTTTGCTGGCCAGCTGGCCTAAGTCCTGATCCTTACAGTACTGGGAGCTTTGAAAATGTGGCCTCCCAACCTTTTTATCCAGGGAAAATCAGACACGTAAGCACAGCACAAGTCGCCAGCTTTACAGGGCCCATGCCATGTGCTCACCCTGGCTGCACCTGTGTCCTGTGGCCCTGCAGTGTCCTCAGCACGTCGAGTTGTGCACTGTAACAATACATTTCTGATTTTGAACTTAATTATCTTTCAGATTGAACAAAGTGGTGAAATCCCTCCTTCCTGTTGTAATTTTCCCGTGGCGGTTTGCAAAGACAAGATGTTTGTTTTCTCTGGCCAGAGTGGAGCAAAGATTACCAATAACCTCTTCCAGTTTGAATTCAAGGAAAAGATGTAAGTGTAGACAATTAAATCGTACAAAATCCACATAATCCTTGAGTTGCAAAATGTAATACTTAAGGGTATCGAGGAGAATCCAGTGTCTCCTGGTGACGAAGGATAGAGTTAGAAAATTGAAAGAGTTGTATAAAACCATCCTGTTTGCTGTCCCAGCTGGACTCGGATCCCCACGGAGCACCTGCTGCGGGGCTCGCCGCCCCCTCCCCAGCGGCGATACGGACACACAATGGTGGCCTTCGACCGACACCTCTACGTGTTTGGGGGGGCTGCGGACAACACGCTGCCCAACGAGCTCCACTGCTACGACGTGGACTCCCAGACCTGGGAGGTCATCCAGCCCAGCCCAGACAGTGAGGTAAAACCTTCAGTGTGTTTTTTCCTTTGTGCTCCATCTTCTTTGACTCATTTTTGCTGTGGACACATTTTGACAAGAGCATTGGATTTTAGCTAAATAGTAACCACCCCTCCCACTGATGGTTAATCAGCTGGAATATTGTGGGTAGCAGTCCTTAAAAATTAGTCAGTGTTGACACATCTAAAACTTCACTTAACACATTTTAAAGAAATACCATGAAATGCTTTGATATGTGTTATGAGTCAAACATTTGCTTGGTCAGAAGCTGAACAATGAATTCAGTGTGTACCAGTGGTTCTTTGCTTGGCTGTGTGATCCTCTTGAAGCAGAATTCAAAACTAGACAAGATTTGATTTGTCACTGTAGTGCCCATGTGCATAAAATCTTATAAATTCTGATTATACATAGAGTTGTGGCTGGCAAATAGTAATATGGAGGCTCAGAAAAGACTGTTTTAGCATACTTACATTAATAAGAGATATAAATTTTAAAATGTCTGTTTTTACAATCAAAAGGCTGTAGATCACCAAATGCCAAGGAAACACTGTAAATGAGACAATATTTTAAAAAAAAAATTAAAAAATGAACATATTAATCTGTTTCTTTTGCTACTTATGCAAGGCAGAGATTGTGTGATAAAATGCCCATTTTTTTCATAGCACACTCACAGATCCTGTATTCCAGGTGGAAGTGCCAAGGGCTCACCTGGATTCAGTGCATATTTCAGGTCACATAAATGAGGATCATTTCATCCCAGAATGCACAAGCTGTTGTTCCCTGAAGCCCATACCAGTGTGTGTAGTTCCTGGCTTTGGAACAGCAGCATTCATTGTGTTTATTAATGTGAACAGATTTTATCTTAAGCTGTGTTAAGGTACTGCAGCTGATGTCACAGTGGGTTTAGGGTGTGAGCTGCTCCCTGTGTGTGTGCTGTGCACACAACTGCACAGCCTGAGGTTATACCTCAGACAGCTGAGTGTTGCAAGAATTGGGATCAGGTGCAGAGTTACTGATTTAGCCAGCACAGGTGTGACAGGGCTCACCCTCCAAGAGCTGTGTGGGGTGTTTGGTGTGTTTATGTGTTTGCAGACAGGTCACAGGGTTGGATGAGCTGGAGAATCCCACCCACACACTGCTCAAAATTAGCTGTGCACGTAGGCCTTGTCAGGAGCTGTGATTAGACCAAAGTATTTCACAGCAGCCTATTTAATGCTTTACAAAACTGATTTATTGTCACATTAAATAATAAAGCTGCTTCTTCAACTTTCTAAAGCCACAGTTGCCTTCAGAACTGTAGATCCTGTTCTGTTCCTGCCAGTGTTACCACTTGACGTGTGAGGCATCAGCAGGCATTGGTTCTTTGGGACACAATTGCTTATGGCTTCCAGGAGCAGAACTGCTCCTGCCAGTGTTATTAATGCTGTAAACCAGCATTGTTCCCTGAGTTATGCCCTGCTAAATTTCATTTCAGATTTCAAAGCTCTTTTCTTCGTCTGTCTGTAATCCCAGACAGAGGTCTTCTAGTTGCTTGTGTTGTATTTTGCAGTTTCTTTCTCTGGTGCAGCATCTAGAGACCGATTTGGTAGAAATGGGAGGTGAAGCTGGTGCTGTTGAAACACAGGATAGTAAATTTTCCTAAAAGGTCGATTAACTGCAAAATCTGAGAGACTTTTAGTGTTTCAAGTAAGTTTTAAATTATTTTGTGTCTTCTGGAGTCATAACTAGGTAATTTCTCAGAATCATTTTCCTGAAGTTTCCATGAGCTTTTGGCAAAGACTTCTGAAGGTAGCAGTGAATCTCTAATACCATCCTGTTCCCTGGACACTCTGAGCGTGGATTTTCCTTATTTATCCATCTCTGTGAACAAAATTATTCACGTTAATTTGAAACAAAACAGAAGTTGATAAGTGCAATGCTGTCTCAGCACTTGAGGGTTTCTGCTGTGTGTGAAGTGATAGTGACCTCTGTTATTGTGCAGCAGAATGACCTACCTTGACTTTTAGAGTTGGGTTTTTCCTTTCCAATGGATGGATTGTAGAGTTTACCTTCTGCTTCCTCTGTATTACGTGGTATGATCTTAGAAATGCTGCATTTCAACTTTGCTTAACTGCACTTTAGTGGGGTTACTTTCTTACTTATGATCATGTGATGCATATCCTTAATTCTTTCTTCTTTTGGATGTTTAACATGGAATGGGTAAAGCCTCTGGAGTCCAAAATGAGGTTTGGTGCTGACTAAGCTATCAATTCAGTGGTGATTTTTACAGTGCTTTGCAAAAGAGATTACAGAAGAGATTACTTACACTGAAAGAGAGTCATTGCTGCCATTCCAGTCTTGTTCTCTGAACTTAGGCTGCCCCAAGGAGCTTTTCAGGGTGACTGGGGAGTGATTTGGACTTTTCAGACTTATTTGTGCCAGAAGCAGGAATAGGCTGTCAGGTGGAAATTGTATGTCCTCTGTTATGGGTGCCACAGAAGATGACAAGTCACACAAGGCTGAAGAATTTTGGCATTGTTACCTGGATAAGGTGGCCCAATTTGGGCAGAGTGAGGAAGGTCCTAGAGGCACTTGTTGGGCACAGACAGCAATCATGTATCAGGTGCTGCAGGTGCCCTGAGACAGTCTGGCATTTTCTACATTTTGAGTAAACAGGTAGAACAAGCCTGGGAATAGATCTGGCAATGGACCTGTTGTAGTTCTCTCCCCAGGGCACTTAGAATTCTTGGTAGTGCCTCACAGTGGGATGGAGGATGGGAAATGGCTTAATGAGTAAAAGAGGGCAAACTGAGATGGAACAGGTCAATACTTCAAAAATAAACCAAGAGCTGCCATTTTGTGCTTTGGGATGTCTCCAGAATGGATAACAAGATATCCTTGCTGAGCTACACAATTGCAGTCTGTAGCTCCTCAAACCTATATATAATACATGTACATATCTATTGTACAGAGCACACAGAGCTATTCCTCATCTTTGCTGTGAGATGATCTTCACAGCTGGGGGTTCTCCTTTTCTAAGGCAGCCACAGGAATATCTTGTCTGAGTCTTTGCCTGCCTGCATAACAATGCCAAAGCTTCCTGGCATGTTGGATTTTCTTTATACAGAGCTACTGAAGGATTTCAAAAGTAAGAAATAGATTTTTTGTTTGCCTCAATTTTTTCTATTGAACTCAAAATACCTTTTACTTTCTGAAGAGGGTTTGAGCAGCATAAGAAATCAGCAGGCAGTAGGAGGAAGAATGCCCCATGTTGCACAGTTGACAGATGTGTGCACGTGGCAGTCATGGCTTGTGCTCCAGAGAGGAGAGTTCTGCAGGGCATGACAGGAGCTCTGGGTCTGGCAGGGAACACAGACAGTTGTGGACACAGACCCACAGAATCCAAGGTGATGTTTGGAGCAGCCACTGCCTCACAGACGCAGAGTGTTATGTCAGGAAGAAGAAAGTTCTCCTTCCTTACTGTTCCAATCATCTCCCTGTGGCTGCAGGCACCGGTGAGTAATCCATCTCTCCTGAAGTTATGAGGGAAATCTCTAAAACTTGTTCTGGAAAACATTTTAGTCTCACAATTAGGGATTTCAAAGCCAAGAGCAATAAAAATCTCCAATTTCCAAAGCTCTTAATTTTTCTTTCAATAAGCCAAAAGGGAGGTTAATGTGCTGGTAACCTTCTTGGGCTTACTTGGAGGCTCAGTTTTGGAGGTTTTTGGACAGATTACAATGACGTGGTTTATGGACAGCTGAGGAAGATTAAAAGGACTTAGTCCTCCTCCTGGGGATGAGTCTGCCCCAGTCTCCTTGTTCAGAGATCAGTTACAGCCCTCAAGGTATCTTCAGGCAAGAGAAACATGTTACTATGTGCACAATGCTCCAAATTCCTGCAGTGAGCCCCCTAACAAGATCTGCCTCACACATGGGCTAGTTGTCAAGGTATTGTGTTCTGCTGGGAGAGATAAAACCGAGCATTTCACAATTCAGAGGGAAGACTGGTACTTTTGATGTTTATAAATAATGTGTAGTGTTGAGACTTGCATCCTCTTTAAAAAAAACCTTTTTAAAAATGTAGGAGCTTCATACCTGTGCCCTTGGCAGGTCTGTGCTCAGTGAGCTGGAGAGAGACATCTTGAAAATGTTTGTATTTATAAGAATCTGCACATCAGAGTACCTGTAGCTAATGCTATTGTACAGCTCCACTTCTGTTTGTCAATTCTGTGTTCATATCCTTTCTGAGGGGTGTTCATTATTACATCCTTTTACAGTATTCTCCCAGAGAAAGCAAAATGCAAATGTTGTGGATGATGGGCAGAAGGAATTTTTCTGTAACTCATTCACTGGGAAGGAATTGTAACAACACAGATTTAAGGTTACCCACATTAAGGTGGTATAAAATTGAGTAACAGAAGAACTTGAAATACTCTTTTGAATGAGGAGCAGTTACTTTGTATAAACTTATGCCACCAACCTTGAAAGACCGCAGAAAATCAGGCTTTTCCTCCAATACTTACTAGTTGTCCTGAATTTTGCCAATTACTGATTACAATAACAGTCCACTCAGGGATTTTGATTTCTTCTTAAGGTGGGTGCAAAAAGTCCGTGTTTCAGTTTGGCTGTAGGATACGTTTATGAACGGAGTGTGTGGTCTGGGTTTCATGGTTTCCCTTACAATGACTTCAATTCCCAGTTCTTGTGGGGAGCTAAGAGAGCTCCTGGTGGTCTGAAATGTCTGGAGGTGTTGTGATATTCTTGGTTCTAGAAGCTGACACAGTGTTGTGTTATTAAATGACATAAATACATGATCCTTGTGTTCATTAGATAGATCTTCCAGTATAACATCTCCCCATGTTGTGTTCACAAACCAGGGAGATTGTTCAGGAAGAGTGATTGAAGATGGGATGTGCAGTGGCCAACTATGAAGTGAAGTCTCTTTTAGATTGGAAATTAAATCTTCTCTGGCTTACCTGGGGAACAGAGGGTTTTTAATCTATCAGTGAAAGATAAAACAAGATCCATCCACTTCAAATTAAAACTAGAAATATCTAGACTGAAAAAGAAAGGAAAACAAATGTTTACAAATTTTAAAGAATGAGAATAATTATTTATTGGAACATTTTATCAGATTTTTTTTTGTAAAATCTTCAATACACTTTAACCAGGATTTGATATTTTCTAAAAAAAAGGTTTTTCTCAAAGAAAGTCTAAATTTCAGTTGGTTTATTCAAGAAGTCAGATTAAGAGCACAAAAATTTTGTTATGGTATTTGGATTTTTGAATGCACGCCACATGCCAAAGAGAAGCAAATGGCTGGTCACTGGATTTCTGTCAGCTGTTGTCAGATTTCAATATATGATCTTTTGTGATGAGTTCATTGGATTTGGCTGGAGTTTGGCTTGTTCTTCAAACTGCCTCATCCTCTCTTATGAATTATACATTAACATTGCTCTTTAAATTGCAACTGATACATACTAAAACAATTTTAAAGGAAATAACATTTACTATTATTATAGCTGTAAATAAATTACAGATAGCCTCATACTCTGACCTTCGTGGTTATGCTGCCATGTGTTTGGATGTCATTGTTAATGGATTTACCTTCTGGTTTCCATTCTGTGTTCTCCAGTGAATGCCAAATGGAACAATCTCATCCTCAGTGTAGAGCACAATTGCAGAGGATGTCTCTGTTGCACTGCCTATCACTTATCATAACCAGAGGAGATATTGCAACGAGCTTTTGTTACTATGACTTCACATCTGTATGTGGTGATTTAACCCAGATCCCTGCACTGTGTGCTGGGCTGATCCCCCAGCATGGGCAGCAGGGCAGGGGGGATTCTGCCCCTGTGCCCC